TAAACCTAAACCCCTTAACCCCTAAACCCCTAAACCCTAAACCCTAAACCCTCATCAGTTTGGTCAAACCTCCATAACTGACCCCACACTGCTCGGATCCAGTCGGTCTAAAGTGCTGCCTGCATGTTTTGGGGTCATATGAAGCGTTCTAAATCGATTTCGGCCTTTTCAAGAAACGGCTACAGCAACTTTTGGACGGTTTTCTCGGCACATCATGCTCCCAATGAAGCACCCTCACCCCTACAGCAGCCTCCCTCACTCTTCTGATGAGTCATGGTGATGTCAGAGGTTGTAATTATATCTGTTATGTCATGACCCTGCAGCTCCCACCCTGTGGGTGTGAGGCCAAGGCTGCAGCTCAAGTGCTGCACTGCCTTAGGCAAATCCTGCAGTCATCATCAACAACAGCCAAGGGGTTGACAGCTGGTGCCAGCAGCCTGCCCCACCCTTTTGGTGAGTCATGGTGACGTCAGCAGCAGTGCTGAGCACGTGTGTCCTGACCCTGCAGCTTCCACCCAGGTTGCATCCCTGTGGGTGCAAGGGTGGGGGTGTCAGTGCTGCAGTGCTGACTCGGGCAAATCTGCAGGATGCAGCACTTGGCACCCCAGGTCAGACTGCTGCCCAGCCTGCACAGTTTTGGGCTGTGGCTGTTGGGGGCAGTTTGCAGACATCATGCAGCCTTGACACAAGCAGACACAGCCATGGGGGGAGTGCTGGGGGGCTGGGGCCAGCCTGGGTACATCATACCTTTGATGATGTGCCAAACACAAGTGAGGGGGCTTTGGTGCAGCCCTCCACCATGCTTGCCCCACCTTGCCATCCACTGGGCAGGTCCCACAAACACCCCAGACGACGCCCAACGCGTTTCAGGACCAGGTGGAATGGCTGCAGCCGCCAGAACTTGCTGCCCAGTCATACAAGGGTTCATACCTAAACCCTAAACCCTGCTGCGGCCACGGCGGAAACGCGGCTGCAGATTGTCATGACAGCCTTGTGCTGGTCATGGCTGACTGCAGGGTTCGTAGCCCGTATCGGGGCAGCCGGCTGGGGCACCTGCTGGTTCAGCTGGGGGTCAGGTACCCACCGCATGCCTGCAGTGTGAAACCTGGAGCGTGCCGGAATCCACTGCAACGCGTAACACACGGGAACATGCAGTCCATTTGCTTGCATGTTAGCGTCCCTCTGCAACACCAGCAACATGCCATGGTCACCTGAGCTCAACTATAAACTATTTCCTCGCCGCTCTATGCACGTCAACAAAGACAGCCAAACACCGGATTGACAACGATCAACAAAGTATACAGCTGCTCAACGGCGCATACAGCACCATAACAACACAAGATGATGTGGGGAATACGATTGTGCGACTCTTTCTGGGATCATGCGTGTGGAATCAAACGCTGCCCAGCATGCGCATACATGGGCAACAAGATTTTGGAGAGCCTCGTCAACCGGTCAGCGTGTGCCGCGTGCAGAGCACGTACGCTCAAGAGGCTGCGACATTGCGTTTGGCTGCGTCTCTATCTGCTCGCAAGCTCGTGTTGGCTTTCTCCAGCCCAGCTGCATGAGCCTCCGCCAACCGCAGCCGCTCGTGAGCCCCAACAGCCTCCTTTTCCCAGCGTGCAGCACGCTCACTGGCAGCGTCCCTCTCGCCCCGTACAGCAGCGAGCTTGGCCGCCATGTCAGCTTGCTCCGCAGCAGCCCTGTCCACCTTCGCCTCTGCCTTCTCCAGCCGTCGCTGCAGCGCCAAGTTCAGCCGTCCCACCTCTGCTGCTTCTCCAGAAAGCGCGGTTGCACGTGTCTTGGCAGCTTCCAAGTTTGCTGCCAGGTCACGCGCGACTGCCGCCGCCGTGTGTTGCTCCTGGGCCAGCGCCGCCTCAGCCGCCGCTGCACGCGCCGAGGCTTTCTCCAGCTGCCTGCCCAGTAGCTCCACGCGGGTGGCAAGCGCGTCACGGTCGTCAAGCGTAGCCTGCGCACACAGCCGTCCGCAAAATTGGCAAGTATGAAGGGTTGCAGGTGGCCCAACAGGGCTATTGCATTGTTACAAGTGCGGGCCCGTGCGACAGCGTGTGAGGAGGCGAAAGCTGCACCAGGCAACAGTTACTGACATGCACGTACGTTCACATGCACGCATTTTAGAATTACTAGCGGGTAGGCAAACGCCCAAGGCGGCTTCTGCAATACGCCGCGCGACACTGTGTCGCCAACCACCTACACGCGCGAAGTGAGCGCTAGGGGCTTGGCTCTCACCATATAATTGATGTGGATGGCCCTGCCAATGGCGATGCCAGCGGCCAGCACACCAGCATTGGCCGCAACCACCAGCGCCCGCCTCAGCCACCGTGGCAGAGAGCGCCTGCCTTGCCGTGCCAGTTGCCGAAGCGGCGGCTGAGTCAAGGCCCGGTCGGCGCGCCCGCCGTCGTCGTTCTCTGCAGACGCCCCTTGCTGCTGCTGCAAAAAAGCCGCGATGATGTTTGGGGGCAGCATAAGGGCGTCTGGCTGATTGTCAGGGTCGTCGAAAACGCTGCTGTCTGCACTGACGAGCGCTGCTTGGGAGGGTTGGGGAGGCAGCGAAGGGAGGTTGTGTGTGCTGCGGCCGCACTGTAGCTGTGTATGATGCAGCACCATCTCCACCTGCATGCTCCAGAGCGTGCTCGCGCGTGGGGTGTTATGATGCATACTCTTAAGCACAGTCATGCATGCATGAATAAGGCGCGCATGCAGTGTGAGCAGGGGAGCGGCAAAGGCCAGAGCGCCATGCTGCTTCCGGCCAGCCAACCAGGCGCACCAGCTGCGGGGTCATTTGGAGCAGGCGCGCCCGTGTCCCATCCCAATTGCGGGCTGCTGTCAAGTTTCATTTACTGCATCTACGCTCGACCGCACAACAACAAACGGATGCGCTGGCGTTGAGCAAGCCGAAATGATCTGATGATAAGGACAGTAATACGTGTATCGTGATATTGCAAGAAGATCGCGCAATGAAACTCCATGCTACAAGATCCGGCCGCAAGGGCACGCTGAATGAGTGCGAAAAAGCAAGCTGCCGACCAGCCGCCGACGCTGCGTCAAGGGCCGCGCCACGGGTCGGGTCTCAGGTGGTGGCATGATGAATGCAGCCATGCTCGCCTTCGCACCAGCCAGTAGGCAAAGCAGGGGCGCTCGCGCAACATGCGTATCAGCGTCGGATCCACCAAGTAAATGCGCTTTGAGGAGTTCTCTGGGTCCCTCACCAGCGCGATGTGTTTGGTGTTGATCTGCCATTATGCAGTGACGACGACGGCAGAGAGCAGCGCAATATGAGTACAAAGATGCGCTCGTTGCGGCCATGCATGCTACAGCTGACGCGGCAGCAGGACTGGACCCCTGGCTATTAGCGTCGGCACCCCTTGACACACATGGTCTGCTTGCGCAAGGCGTGCTGCAGTCTTGTTTGCTTGTTGAGCCTGGTGAAGGCCCTGCACACTTTGAATATTAGCGCAGTGGCTAGGCTCCTGAGGAGGGGCGCCAAAGGCGTAGCTGCTACGGCAGCTGGCTGGCAGCTAAGGCCACGGCGGCTTGAAGAGCAGCACCTGACAGGCAGCACGCGCCCCGCCGCGCAGCTGCCCCTCGCCTCAGCCTCTTATGGGGTTGCAGCGGCCCCCCTTCATTTGCTTTCATGAGCTTGGCAGCACAAATGGTTTTTGATCAGTCACCCAAGCAATGCGATCTTCTCACCGGCTAACAAAACGCCAGTTCGCGCTATACGGACTCGCAGCACCAGCCCGTGCTTGTACGCAGGCTTTGAGGGCCCATGCGTCGGGCAGCCGCGCAGGCCTCCCACCACACACCATTGCGTTGCCGCCACTTGGCAGCGCACCCGGTTCGCAGTACTTTTCAAATGGGGTTGTTCGGCACGGCGCTTTGGCTGCAGTGGGCCTCCTTTTTCCTTTCGCCGCTGCGAACACCGGCGGCCTTGTCTTTTGCCCAGTCTGCTGGAGCAGGGCAAGGCACTGCTCTGAGGCCGACGGGACAAAAGGACACAAAACCTGCAATATTCAAAAGGTCTGAGCGGGGTTGCTGCTTCGAGCGACCGCAGGAGCAGGAACAGGGCAGGCGCCGACGCCTCCCACCTCACCAGCATCCTGCTGATTGACGATCGCGCACGAGCGGGAGCGGGAGCGGGTGCGGGCTGCAGCAGCGGTTGCAGCCGTGCTGCGAACCGCCAACATTGCCAAACAGGCATCTTGTGGGGCGCGGAGAACTTTGCTGCAACAAACTATATTAGCAATGCCTGAAATAAAGCCGTTCATCAATGGGTCTAAGCACCGCCTTTACCGTATTATCGCCTTTGCTGCGCAACTTGACTAATGAGGTTGTTTCAAAGGAAAGGCTGCATTGCCCTGGACCGCGATGATGTATACGTGCGTTGATCGTTTTACATTGGTCTCTCGAAATATTTGAAACCAAGACCCCACCGTCTGCCGCCCAGAACGGTGAGGGCTGCAGCAGCAGCGGTTGTTGTGGGCTCTTTGCTGCACTGCGCTGTTCAGCGAGCAGTAGGGCACATCAAGTAATTATTCTTGCATATTGGATCATACGTCCCTATCACAACGCGTAGACCGCGCGCGGCTGACAACTGCTGACCCTGCCCGCTGGCCCCCGTCCTCCCCCCGCCGCGTTCGGCCGTGAAGCAGGCAGGTCAGAGGATAGAAACATGAGGCTCGTGCACTGCCTCGTGGCAGTGCTGCTCGTGGTCGGCCAGGCCGCGGGTGAGCAGGAATGCGGTTTCGATCAGTCGGCACAGGCGACCGCGTGGGGGAAGTAAACGCCGCGGATGCAATCGTGTCATGTGCTCATTGAGACGCGGGGATTTGCAAAGTACGGGCAGCTGGGACATGGGTGCCGCCACCTGCCCCCGTTGCCGCCCACCGCGGCGCGCAGTGTTCTGGGACACATGGAAGCACTAAGGTTTCCTGGGATGGCAGCTTGCTGCGGCATGCAGCTGATAGTCAAGCTATGCCTGCTGGCGCTGCGGCGGGCCATACTGTTGAGCTGCAGGCAACGGCAGCCAGCATGGCCCTGCAGTGCAGCTTGTTCAACCCTGAACCGCTCATGTGTGCACGCAGCCTGGGACTGCCCTGGCGGCGTGAAGGGAAGTGACAAGGTCACCGGCTCCTCCAGCTTCTTCGGCATCCAACAAGAGAAGCCTCTGACCTACATTGACCAGACCGCTGCTTGGAAGAAGTTTGGCCCCATCACCAAGATCAACCTGTACTACTCGTACAACCACGGCTGCGTGCAGGGCGTCAAGGTGGGCAGGCTTCCGCTAGACAAGCAAGGATCAAGGCTTGCGCAGCATGTTGTGCGTGCTGATACGCACAACCTCCGAGATTGATGCTGTCATCTGCGGCCATTCTCTGGTCGCGGCCCCCTCCACCACACACACACTCACTCACTGGTGTCTCCACCAACAACAACCCCGACGCCCAGGTCACATATGGTTATGACGCGCGCAACGCCCAGCTGATTGGCGTGCAGAAGGGCCTGGCTGAGGCTGACATTTCCCTGGCTGCCTACGAGGGCATCACCAAGGTTGAGCTCAAGGAGTCCAAGACCAACAAGTGAGCACAAAATTGTCGAAGAGATGTTCCGCTGAGGAGGCAGGTACAGCGGCGCTCACGTCCAAAGGCGGCGGAGGGACCAAAGGCGGCCAATTGCCGTCACAGTTGTTGCAGGTTGGGCTCTGTGCACGAGCCCCGAGGACTTGCTGTCAGAAACAAACACATCTATGCTCGCGAACCCAGCCTGCCAACCCAGCTGTTTTGTTGCGTGGGTTCTAGGCATGCTCTGCGCCCTGTTTCCCCCCTCATCTACCCCCACGAACACACCTGTGTGGCCCCAGGTGCATCGAGTACATCAAGCTGACCAGCAGCAAGGGCAAGACCGTCGCCCTCGGCAATGCCAAGAGCGCCTCGCCTGTGCAGACCACCGCCGCTGCCAAGGACGGCTTCTTGTCCAACCTGCGTGGATATGAGGACCTGTACGCAGGGCAGGCCGTCACCAAGGGTGGCTTGCAGCGGCTGCAGTTTGTGTGGGCTGTGGCTGTCTGCCCCACTCCCAAGCCGGCGCCCGTGCCCAAGCCAGCACCTGTGCCCGCGCCGGCCCCAGAGCCCACGCCGGCCCCGGAGCCCGCAGGAGCCCCCGCGGAGAGCCCGGCCCCCACTGAGGGCGGTGCCCCCACTGATGTCCCTGCCGAGGCGCCCGCCCCCGAGGCGCTGTGCCCCGCTGACCTCGACCGGTGCGACACCAAGGCCACCTCGGGCGACGCCTTCTGCCCCGCCGTGTCCCCTTTCACCTACAACCAGTGCGCCGGCGGTTGCTGCATCAGCTCTGGGAAGTGCAAGAAGGCCTTCTGCGGCGCTGCTGGCCTGGGATCTGAGGTGTTCGCCCACAAGACTCTGTTCTGGGGCACCAACAGCGGCCTGGCGCACAAGTTCAACAAGGGCCGCAACCTGGCCTGCAAGCTGGCCGTGCCCGGCTGCGTCTCGGACCTGATCAGCGGCACATGCGTCGGCTCCGTGGTGGCGCTCTCCAACGATGTTGATGAGGGGGCCGCCCAGTGGGTTGGATACCCCTGCCTGCAGACCGTGCCCGGCGGCCTCCCCACTGACGCCTTGGGCAAGCCCGATGTCAACGGCGCCTACACGGCCAAGCTGTGAGCGCTTAGGGCTGCGCACATGGGGGGTGCAACCCTAGGGTGCCCGTCCTCCCCCGTCACAATTGAGATGCCTGTTGCCACCTGGCGGCTCAGTGGTGGTTTCAGGCGGCTACCATGGGCAGTACACCACACTGCAAGAATTCAAAAACAAAGCTTGCGTGTATCCAGGTGTTAATCCAGTTC